ACATATATATATTTATATACAGAGAGAGAGAGAGAGAGAGAGAGAGAGAGATATTATAATAGCATAAAGGTTTTTTTTTTGCATAGCCTAATTTTTTTAATTTGCAGGCCTATTTTATAATTAGATTTAGAAATTACATTTTTATAAAAATGAAACAATAAATGTAACTATCTTATATCCTTTATCTCTCTTATCTACCTTACTTCTTTAAACATTTTAGTGCTTATCATTAACTGTTTATAAAAATTTAAATTAAATTTTTAATAAAAATACCATTGGTTATCTTATAATTAAAAAGGTCTATTAAAAATATCCTTAAATTCTTGTATTATGTCAACATTTTAATTTTTGAAAACATTTGTAAATATGCTAAGGGATCGTCCATATATTACCTAACGCAAACTTTCACATTAAAAAAAATTAAAAGATCAAAGGCTTTCCATTGCAGTGACTAAATTCAGATAGAAATTTAAATTAAGACTCTGCAAGGAATTTGAATTGTTTTTTCAAATTAAAATTTTTATTCAAGTTTGATAATGTTGATAGATATTAGGCTTATTTACACAGCAATTTTCACTAAACTTAATGTGCTAGTTCATTTTTTTATTTAAATTTAGGCTCTGAAAGGGAAAACCTTTGATCGTTTTTGTTTATTATGAAAGTTTGCGTTTTGTAATTTATGGACAATCCTAAAGACCTCTTTAGAGTTCTGATAATTTTGTGCACACGCATGTTCAATAGTATATCTTGATTCTTTATGCCTAGAATCACATGAAAAAAAGCAAAAACACAGAAATATTATAAAAACATTCTTAAAAAAACTAGTTGTATACATCAGATTTCTTTTCTTTTTTTCATAATAAAGACATCAATTTTTTTTTATATAAGTTTGTTTTAACCTCTTTAAGTCTCAAATTTATATTCTTTATATGTTTGCGTTATACAACATATATGAAAGAAATAAAAGGTTTTAGAGAGTGTGAAAGTACTTAAAATAAAAATAGCCAAAAAATGCTTTGATTAAATACTAGATAAAATAACTCATGAAAAACTGGCAAAAAAAGGCCACATTTTATAAAAGTTTAACAACTGATCAATAAAGTTTTGTTGCAATTTAAAACAAAACTCTTTTATTTTTTTGGCTAGCACTTTCGTGCTCGCCCGTTTTTTTGGGCGAGCACAAAAATGCTTGAGCGCAAAAGCGCTGGCTAAACGCCAGAAGAAGATTGATATATATATATATATATATATATATATATATATATATATATATATATATATATATATATATATATATATACATTTTATTTTTTTGACATTTTAGTTCTTACGCAATATAAAAACGCAGTTTTTGTGCTAAATACAAGAACTATTTATTCACAGTGTTCTATTGAAAACAAGACACTCATTTTGGACATCTGTGGTTTTTCCAGGGTAAACTCATCAACTCATAAACTACGTTACCTTGTAACCTTTTCGAGCGCTTATTTTTTTAAAAGTAGATCGTAATACGTTGTAATATACAATTACAATGTACTAAGTGTGCGATGGAATAATAAAACCACCCCACCCATCTTTTAATGAAAAAAAATCAAACGAAATATTATATGAATTTTTTTTTTAACTTTATACAAAATAGCATTCCATGATGTCTGTGCTCCATCACTTTATTTCAAGTTTGTATAAACCATACAAAAACCAATTGTGAACACTATGTTAATAAAAATGTTTTGTTTTTATTTTCAAAGAAGAATAAAACAAACTAAAAAAAAAAAAATCAAATAAGATTAAATAATGTCTTACTTTGTTCATTCAGAAAATGTTTAGCTTTAGTAAGTCTTTAAATTAAAAAAAAAAAAAAAGCAACAGAGTAATGTATGCTTGTTTTAGTTTATCAGGCACTTCGATCATTAATTTAAACATATGGGATGTAACACACATAAAATTAAATATTTCTATTTTTCCATATAATTTTAGAGGTGTATATATATATATATATATATGTATATGTGTGTATATATATATATATATATATATATATATATATATATATATATATATATATATATATATATATATATATATATATATATATATATATATATATATATATATATATATATATATATATATATATATATATATATATATATATATATATATATATATATATATATATATATATATATATATATATATATATATATATATATATATATATATATATATATATATATATAAATCAGTAAAAACACTTATCTAATTTTTATTTTCTTCTACAGCATGTTTCTCCATCAGTAAGATTATCAGAAAGCTTGATGCCGCATTTATTATTGCTCTGTTCTTTAAGAACATTGAGCACTCTTTTTGTAGAATACACTAACATAATTTATGTATATATATATATATATATATATATATATATATATATATATATATATATATATATATATATATATATATATATATATATATATATATATACATATATATATATATATATATATATATATATATATATATATATATATATATATATATATATATATATATATATATATATATATATATATCGGCGACGGCATTTTTTTTTTTTTATTTTTAATGCTTCAGATAGAACTATTTCACACATAGTACAAATTTCAAACTTAAGTATGTTTATACTTATGCCAAATGAAGAGGCCTTTCAAAAATTTGGAATAGTGGAGACCTGGGTACAAAAAACCCCTAAAATGCCTTCCTCCTCCCCGACCTTGCTAAAACATAAGGGATGTAATAAAATTTTTAACTTTATTATCATAAACTAAATTTTAATTTACCAACAAACAAAAAAAAATTTACAAAAAGTATGACCTGACAAAATTTCTGACCCCCAAAAATCAAGGAAGGGGGGGGGTGTAAACTTTGCATGGTCATGACTTTTGTAAGTATAAAAATATTTACGTTCATATTTACCTTTTTTCCCAAAAACTTATTTTTACTCCTCAATTCTAAGTACTGTTTATAGTTTTTACACTCAACACATAATTTTTTTTTTTTTTTTTTGAAAAATTCTTTAAAAAAAGTCATAAATAAACAACTGTTTCTTTTAAGGTTACTATCTTTATTTATGTGTATCTGCGCATAAAGAATCATGGCGTACTATTAAATATGCGCGTGCATGAAGTTATTGAAACTGCAAAAACGTCTGTTGCTTTTGTCCATTAGTTTGGAGTCAATCATGTTATTGCAAATCATAACATTGAATAGTGTAGATATGACTTTACTTGATGTATAAATGAATAAATAGTAATAAAATTATAAGTAAACCATTTAAATGGATAATGCTTGGTTGAGTAACAGGATTCAACTAGTAGTTCAGAATGAAAACAGTTCTACTTTTAGTAGGGCACAAAGTTGCATCTCACCTTATCTTGGTTACTTGTTTTTTCCTAACCTATATTAAGGATCTTGATCGAAGTTTACATAAGTTTACAATTGTTATCATACAAAGTTTCTAGAAATACATAATCGACTCAAATAATAATAAAACTATTGCAATTGATTCCATTTTGATTCTTTTAAACGAAGATAAGCTTTTTTATTGACTCATATGTAGCTCTATTGCTTTATAGCTATTGATATGTAGCTATTGCTTGCAACTGGATTTAATAACAAAGTATTTTCAACTCTTAGTAGAACTTAAATATGATAGTTTTATTATTAAATCCATTGTTATTTGTTATTATATACATTTAGTTATAGATAAATTGTTTGAAAAGCTGTAATTTTTTTTTGTTATTAGTTTCCAACATAATTTTGTAGTTTTGTTTTAAATTTGCCTGTTTTTATTGCAACAAAGAAGCTCTAATCAAAAATAACAATCAGAGAGGCAAATATAATTTTATTTGCTACTTTAAATGTTATTTTTGAAATGTATCACTGAAGTTGATTTATTTTAACAGTTTATTAAAGCAAAAAAAAAACAAAAAAAAAATTCAAATTCAATAACTTATACAGCAATAAAAGAAATACTTTCCACAAGGTTGCTTTACAAGAGTTTAAAAATGTGTTTGGTTAACATAAGGGTCTAAAAGATGACCATTTAAAGAAAATTGTTTCTATTTTATTACAAACATCAAAAGACACTTAAATACTGGAGTATATCACAAAACCGTGATGTTCAAAACAAAATTTTTTTTACAAAACTAGGATACATCAGAAAAAAAAAAGAGGACAAAAGCATGCGTGCACTGTATAAACAACTTTATCAACTATAAATGCACAAGAGTTGAGTGTTAACTTAAGAGTTGAGAGTTAGTTATCTTTAAATAACAGTTAATATTCAATGTAATCAGTAATACTCATTTTAGTATTGCTCAAAAAGTGATCCTATTGCTTTAATCCACACCCTTTTTACTCCTATTTTTAATAATATAACTCTACAAATACACAGATTTTGGATAGAAAAGTTGATATTTTCCTACACATAAGAAACTTGAAAACAAAACTGATAATTGGTAATGAATATAAATAAAGATTTTTGTTTCAATATGTATTTTTTCTTAGTTTTGTCAGCATTCATTCATAAACAAATATGTATTCGTATTATAAAATTTTAAAAAAATTATTTGTTAAAATTATAGTTGTTATTAGAAAATATTTAATTATAACATTTATTGTTATTTTTAGAATTTTTTTTGTTATTGTTATTAACTATTGTCTTTAGAAGAGAAAATTTTTTTTTTTTTGTTAATTCACATTCTAAAAGCCAAGAAGGCCACTAAAAACAAGAAGGCTACTTGTTTGTTGTTAAAACCCTCTCTCAACTCTATAACTCCGAAACATGAACCTTGACAAACAAGGCTTCTGTACAGAGAAACGAGTTGAGCGCGGTACTACCAGGGACATGTAGTGGAATAGTTTTCATATTTTTAATTTTAATTAAATAAAATTATATCATCTGTTTTAACTACTATAGTTATAAAAACAAAAAAAATAATGTTTAATTTTTCTTTAAGCTCGTCCACCGTCTGGTTATTATCAAGTTACTGAAAAAGGTCCACAGTACATTGGTTATACTTCTCAAAACCCAAACTTCTACCAGCCTCAACCAGCAACTGAAAAAGATCCAATGTATAATCCACAGAACATAGAATATACTTCTCAAAATCCAACCTTCTACCAGTCTCAACCAGTTCCTTATTCTTCAAATCCACAAAATGTTGGTTATCAAACACCCTACTATTATGTAAGTTGTTTAAATTTTTTTCAAAATTTTGAGTAATATATGTTACGGTGTTCATTCACCTGTAAGTTACTATATGGATGTTTGTGTTCTATCTGAAACTCTGGCACAGTGTTCCTTCACCCGTAAGTACTATATGCAGGTTTGTGTTCTGTCTGAACTTCTGGCACAGTGTTCATTTACTGTAAGTTACTATATGTATGTTTGTTCTATCTGAACTTCTGGGAAAATGTTTGCTCACCTGTAAGTTACTATATTTATGTTTGTGTTCTGTCTCTAATGCAGTGTGAGATCAGCTACTAAATAGTGATTTCATCTATAAAATTTACGCTCACCTTAATCTTTAGTGTTCTGTTAACTTTTTTTTGTAATGCATTTCTAAATTATCCCCATTAATGCTTTAAATTATTGTGTACAAGAAGTAACTTTTTTTAACTAATGTAGAACTTTGGATTAATTAACAGGACTAACTGCACAGCTCATTGCCTAGGATACCGTGCTCTATCTTTAAAGTCAGTTTTTTTTAAACTTAAATCATGTTTAAAGTACACAAAAATATTAAACATAAAAATAATTGCTACCATTTTACTTTTTCAATATACCTTTTACAAATATTCGTGGTCTTGGCAGTAATTTTCCATCAATTGAATCTTACCTCAAAAAAAACCGACATGCTTGCTCTTTGTGAGAATAATTTGAATTTCACTGTTCTTTCTTTAGTAGGGTAGGCCGAAAAGTTTTTTTTTCTGATTTTTGACTCGCTGTACCGTAAAAAACTTATCTTTAGGGTACCTAAGGATAATGCAAAAAAAAAAAAAAAAAAAATTTTACATCTGGAGCTAGCGCATCGCGCTTAAATTATCGAAGAAATTTCCCCATTTTGTAATTTTCTTACAAATGAAATGAAATTAAATAAATTCTTTAACAGTTGTCTAGACAGAGGCGTAACAATGGTGGGGCTTATGGGACATTCACCCCGGGAGCCTCTCTGGGGATCGGCTTTTAAGCCGCCCCTCTTCCTAGCAGGACCTCCATATGCGGCCCCTTCAGGGCCTTATCGCTAAAAGTTTCCCCCATGACATTTTTTTTTAGTTCGCATGTCTCTCAGGAGGGAGGCGCCAATTTTCAGCATTGCCCTGGGCACCAGAAACCCTAGCTACGCCACTGTATGTAGAGACAATTTAAGAAAAAAAAGTATTGGAATGGTAAATAATATTTTTTTTTTTTTGAATTAAAAATCCATCTTTTTGACTAAAACTTTTGTGAAAAAGTATATTCTTTTACTTTTCTCTAATTTCTGTTGGTAGTTTGAAATACGATTTGCTTGAAAAATTAGACATTGAGGATCTGAAGTTATGTGTAGTTCTTATAATGCCATCTCTGGAATTGAAGCCAGCTACTTTTTGTGAAGCCTCTGTTACAAGCTTTACGCATCGTATAACTGCTTGGGTGTGGCATTGAAGCTTTTCAAAGTTCCACTCAGCCGCTGTTTCACCTGATTGGATCTTTGACCAAATATTTTTATCTGAGACTGTTTGCAGCAAGCAAAGATTGCGGCAAAAGTGTGGTAGTGTTTCAGTCAATCATCTCTGTAAAGTCGGTAGCAAGGAAATAAATTTTGGGTGGCTGAAAACTCCTGATAAACTTTCTTTGAGAAGCTAGGCTTCTTGTCTTTATTAAAGCTTAATTCTCTTTATCCTGCTTTATCTTACTCCTGATATTATTCTCTACTTCAACAAATCTCTTATTTGTTCCTGTATGAAATACTGTTGCCATATTTTGACAGGTTCTCCAAACGATACTTTTTCTCTTTTCTCTAGACAAGGTCCAAAACCGCATTGTTGTAAATTTGCAATATTTTCTTTTTTCTACAAATACTATAATGGTATTTATAAGTTGTATAAAAATATATATATAAGAAAACGGGGAGACTTGATTCAGTTATATTCGATAATAAACAATTTAGAGTCTGTTAACCTTTTTTTAAACGAGTTCTCAATTCAGTCCTTAATATTAAATTAGTTGGCCCGAGTGTTACAACTAGAAGTCAAAATCACAGAATCCAGATGCAATATTTCACGCCTTGTAAAATAAATAACTTTCATGCATCCGTTATTTCAAGAATCCATTTCTTCTCGAACAGAGCGTGCCAACTTTAGAATAAACTTCCGAATGTCGTTGCAAAGTCTGAGAATTGGAACAAATTTAAAGCAAATCTTGACAAATAGCATGTGAAAAATGAGAATGCATTGTCGCTTGTTGGGCTAGAGATGGTGTCGAACCTCGGACCTTTGGGTTCAAAATAACTCTAACCACTGCGCCACGGCTGCTATTTATATATTTATATATTTATATGTATTAGCGTATTTCAAAAAAGCAATATTTTTTAAAAATATATCCTGGCACCCCTTTAATATGTGCTATATGGTAAAAGAATAATGTCGAACAATAAACATTTTTAGATCCCATATAAATATAACGATATACATAAAACGAGTTCCTAATTATCAATTGATCAATTATCCTTATTATTATCAAAAAAATTCTCTAGAAGTGTTAGACCAATCATGTTGGATCTTAAATGAGGTGAAATTATAGAAAAATTTTCAAAATAATAACTATATTATATAAAAATAAACATGGTAAATTTAACGGCATAAATAATAAAGTTTATGAACTAAAAAAGGAAAAAGTGCATTTTTATCAATTTTTTTGGCAATATTTTTTTATCAAATATTTTTTCTATATAATTATTAATTTTGAAATTTTTACACGATTTTGCTTTATCTGAGACCAAACATTATATACATTAGGGGAGAGTGAGGCACCATGACTCTCTTTAGGTTTTTGTTTTGTAAAAAAATTTTTAATACGCCTTTTTTTAAGCGAGTGGTTTAGTTTGTAGAATCAATTTATAAATTATATTTACCCACAAAATAATTTCTATAAACTACCAAAATATAACACGTTAAACTTGTGACATTAATTAAAGTAAAATTAGAAATTTGTTTCAATGTACCCTCCCATGGTGGGCAACCTTGATACACATTACAAATATCGTTATGAAAAATTATAAAAAGTATAAAACATAAAGAAAAGGCGATTTTTTTCAAAATCGTAAATACTCATTTCATGCTTTAATTAGTAAGTCAAATTTTAAAAAAAACTTTTACACAATTCTTTGTAAAAATAATTTGTTTAAAATATTTTTTTAAGACATGGATAAATAGTTTCAAACTTTCAAATTTATCATTAAAAATACATACCCACTAAAAAAAATATAACATTTAATTTAAAAAAATGCGTTTATTTTAAACAATCATTAAAATTAATTTTTGATTTAATTAAAGCCTTCGCGTAAAACAAAAACTTTTAAAACGTGATTTAGGAGTCATTTTTACATCTAACCTCAAGTGGGGCGCTCATATTCAAACAGTTGTCTCTAAGTCCTTACAAATTCTTGGTATGCTGAAAAAGACATTCAATTTCATTGAGGAAAAAATGGCTCTAAAATTATATAAAGTATTTATAAGACCACATCTTGAATATGGAGTGTCCATTTGGGCTCCTTATTTAAAAGCTGATATGGCTTTGGTTGAATCTGTTTAACGCAAAGCAACAAAATGGGCTTACAGCTTGAGGCATCTTCAATACTGCAAAAGGCTAAAAAGATTAAATCTACCATCAATTGAGTTTCGACGCCTTCGATGCGATTTAATCCAAATTTTTAAATTAATACATCGTTTTGATATAGTTAATGATAAATATCTACCAAAATATACTAACTCCATGTCTCGTGGTCACTATTCTAAAATAAGGCGTGAGTATGTTCCAAACTGTCTTCCAAGATATTATCATTTGTATAATAGATCAGCAAAATACTGGAACGAACTACCAGAGCAAATAACTTTGTACTCCACTGTACTTTCCTTCAAAAATAGAATAGACTCCTGGTTGTGGAATAAGTTTGGAACAAATATTTATAAAACTGGTTGTTTATAGTGGGGTGTTTTCCCTGCTCGCTGTATGTGTACATTCTATGTAAATTTACCGCTACAACTATAATAATAATAATAATTCTATGATTTAAAGTTATTCATAACGTAACGATTTTTTATTATTGTTTTTAAATTTTTAAAACATCAAAATAGCTGTTGTCAAATAGACAGATCTCGAATTCCAATGATGCAATGTTACGGCTACCTAAAATCGAGGCGAACCATGACGAAAATTTTAGATGTTGAAAAAACATTTTGCTATCAAAATTTAAAAAAAGATGTCAACTGTTATTTTAAATGATATTTTAAATACTGAAGAAGCAATTCCTTTTATTTTGTCAGAGGACTTATCTGAAAGTGATTTTTAAGAAGAAAGTAATGTTTTTATACCATATAAAGTTACAAAGATAAATCAAAAGTATCGGTGACACAACAAATGGGGCAAAAGCTTGAAAGAAATGCCCTTATTTACCATAAAAGAAATTCAAAATTTTAGTAAATTAAGCGGTAAATCAAAGGGACCATCAATTAAAAAAACTTTTAAGAGGTTAAGAAGAACGTTATATATTATCAGACACAATATTCACATATTCTGCAAAAAATGTATTTCAAGCTAAAAGATTGCGTAAAGCTAGTATGAAAAAGGAAAAAAGGGAAGTTATTGTACTGTTTTTGTTCAACAGGATTGAGTAGATATTGTAACCATGTAATGGCTTTGTTGTTAGAATTAGTTAATTACTCTATAAAATTTCTTTAAAAAGTCCCCACTGAAATTTCTTGAACAAATAAATAGCGACAATGGGGCATACCTGGTGAAAAAAATATAAGTAAAAATCCTATAATGAGTTCAACTGTTAAGAAAGAAAATAATAAGCGTGGTATTTACTCTGCATTGTATTACCCTAGACTTTTTTTTTAATGAACATCGCATGAACTTAAAAGTGTTAGAGCTGCAAGAAAAACTTACATTTTCTTATGAAAAAAAAAACTATTTCGAAAAAATTA